CAGGTCCTGCTTACCCTCTTGGGCATTGTATCCTGGTTCTCATTTCTCCCAAAGCAAGCCTTCAGGTTCTTGAGGACATAGAGATGATAAAAGAATTAGATCCCTAATCTCCATCACTTTATCTCACATCACATACACAACAGTCTGAAATAAACCCACTAACACCCCCAGAGTCATTCCCAAGAGCAGCCCGGCATCGTTCTCGTGTTTTCCCCATCTTAAAAATGTCAGGGCTGGGCCCAGTGCGATGGCATAATGGTTAAAGTCCTCGCATTGAACACGCTGGGATCTCATATGGGCACCAGTTTTAATCCCGATGGCCCTGCTTCCCATCCAGCTCCCTGCCTGTTGCCTGGGAATGTAGTCAAGGACGGCCCAAGACTTTGAGACCCTGTACCTGCGTGGGAGACCCAGAGGAATCTCCTGGCTTTGGATCAATGCAGTACCAGCCATTGTAGTGCTTGGGGAGTGAACCATCAGATGGAAGATCTTCCTCTCTGTCTCTCCTCTCTGTATATCTGCCTTTCCAATAAAAAATAAATAAATCTTTTTTTAAAAAAAAAAGTAGCAGAGCTATGAGACCTCTGAGGTGCAAGCATTGCATGCCGTCCTGTCTTCTTGCCAGACCTGGGCCTCAGGCCTGTGAGTGCGAGTGGAACATTCACCACTGAGTCCCCATGTCTGCCTCTCCCCGCGTGTTGGTTTCCCTGAGATATGGCGTCTAGTAGACTGCTCAGGAAGGGCTTGTGCAAGTGACTCCGTGTGTGTGTGTGTACACATGTGCTTGTGCTGATAATAGTTTATTTGTGCTGGTTGTGATTGAAGGTTAGCTTTACTCAATGTGAAGCTGTGCCTGCAGTATAAGCATCCCCAGTGGAGGCTGGTTCGTGTCCAGCCTGCTCTACTTCTGGTCCAGTTATAAGAATATACTGTACACTATTAGTGTTCTTATTAGATATTAGAGCTAGAAGAGATTTTAATCTTAGTTTTATTTCTCTATATTTTGTATAACCAATACTTGATTGAGGAAAAAAATTAAATTCTTGCTTGATTTTGGTTTTGAGATTTTAGAAGTTAATGTGAGTACATGTTGTATGTGTGCATTCTTGTGCGTGTATGTCTATATGTGCATGTATGTGAAGGTGTGAGAAGATGCTTTGTTAGATGTGATTTTTGGTAGTTCTAGGTAGAATCCCAATTGTTTTAGATATTTCCTGCTGTTATGTATTAGGATCCCTAATTGATTCTGCTAGATATGTAAATTATGTTTATATCCAACTGAAAATAATAAAATTAGGTGTCATTTAGAATACTCTTTAGTGCCCAAAGCTGAAGGTGTAGCTTAGAATGTTCCTTCACACAATTGAAAGTGTCTTTAAATATTCTTTTCTTTAGTTCAGTGATGGAGATTCCTAGAGACTTGGATGCATGGGTAGTGTAGGGGGAGAGAATGTGGAGTACAGCATGAAGTTTGGTCTTGTGAAGTCAACCAGCTGTGGTTTTGGCCTTGAGGCTGTGGCCAAGGGTGTGATTCCAAACCTGTCTGGAGTCTGCGTCTGTGCTTGCTGAGCCTCTATAAAACAACCTCTGGGAGCCTGTCTTGGACTTGTGTGGATGACAAGAAGTAGCCCATGTGGTATGGTCAGCCTCAGCTAATTGTATACTCAATGCCCAGTGAGTGGTTCTGTGGGTAGTGATTTTGCATGTGATTTTGCCATAAGTCCTTGATATGAGAAAAGACTTCACTTCTCTTTCTTTGAAAAGAAAGAACTGGGTTATTTTTTTTTCTCAAGTTGCCTTTGTGGGTCTTTGTGTACTTATCACTTATAACATGGCTTTTTATTAGCACAGAGATATGCCAGTTGACAGGCCTAGTTTGTCAAAGAAAATAATTCCTACTGTAAGAGAACACTCTCTTCCTTTGGCAGTGGGTTTGTGTGGACAGATACTTTGAAAAGTGAGCACTTTTCTCCAGCCTGGCGTGCCTCCAGCCTCATCTCTAAGGGAGCAGTCACCAGTGTGGTCACTTTCCTGACTGCGGAGGCGGGTCATGATTTCAGACTTCAAACTTTAGACCAGTTGTATGATTCAATGTCTCAGTTTTCTTGTTATTGAAATGAGGACAATAAAAATACATGCCTTCTTCAGTATGTTATAAGCATACTTCTATGAACGAAATGAGTGTTTTTAATCAAGTTCTGAACTCCATTTATGTTGCATAGTAAGCCTTGATAAATACAGTCATCAGTTGTCATTACCTTCCCTCTTTGGTTCATTCACTGCCACTTGCTGACCAAATTCCTATCAAATGCCAGACACAGCTCTAGAACAAAGTCAGGGGGGCTTGCATTCTAACAAGGGAGACCACCAGTGGGCACAGGATGGGAGGGTGCTCGGCAAGACCTGCAAAGTAAACCAACTAAGGAGGTGGCTGACAGAGTGGAGACCATGCTGGATTCTCAGAGGAGACTCTTGCCGACTAGGAGAGAGCTTACAGAACTTATAGTGACTGAGCCTAGGTGATGGTGCTGGGGAAATGGGCCTGCATTGGGGACACGTTTGAAAAGAGAACTGAGAGCATTTACTGACGTGCTGGGTGTGATGCCAGCACATGTTATGCCAAGGAACGTGCCACGTACTGAAGTAGTAAACATGAAGAAGAGCTCCTTTGTGTCTGTGAGGCGTGTGGAGAACGGTGCTGTCCAACATTCATGTGGAGTAATGGCGGAAACACATCTTGGCACACCTTGAGGTGCTGATGTCAGTAAGTGGAATTCAGGAGAGAAGTTCTTATTTGTAGGGGTAAAAATGTGAGACTTGTCCTTGTAAATGTTATTTCAGTTGACTACTTGTTGAGTGAGTTTGGACAAAGGAGAGTCCATTGAAAGACTAGGGGACGTTGACTTTTGGTGGCCTAGAAGAGCAGAGGGCCTAGGAAGGAAGGGTGCAAGGGGTGTCTCATAAGCTGGGAGGATGGTTGCCATCTGGAAGCCTGGTGAAGGAGGAAGAAGGTAGGAGGGGCTGATCTGCATTCCTAGCAGAGGACAGCCAGAACTGAGAGCGGCCATCACTGTTGGTGACTTTGACAAGGACAATTGGTAAAGGGTCCAGACTAAAATGACCCAAGGGAAAATGAGAATTAAGGAGGTAGAGATGGAGAGAATACTTTGTTCTGCTGTTTTTGACAGTTTTGTTACAGAAAGCAGCTGGAAGAGTGCATACAAACACTATTTTGAGATGATTTTAGTAGAAAAAGAACCGATGATGCAGAAAAAGAGGAGAAAGGTGTAAATATGAGAGCAGGAATATGTTTCAGTGTTCAGAATCCACTGAAGTGTGTGGCCCCAAGGGGACCCTGCATGTCCCTGCAGCAGGAGAGAAGGCTAAGTGCAGGGGCACGGGTACAGACCTCTTGGTAAAGCTGGCTATCTTTTTAAAAAATATTTATTTACTTTTATTGGAAAGTCAGATTTACAGAGAGAAGGAAAGACAAAGAGGAAGAGCTTTCATCTGCTGGTTCACTCCCCAATGCCTGCAACAGCCAGATCTGAGCTGATCCGAAGCCAGGAACCAGGAGCTTTCTCCAGGTCTCCCAAACGGGTCTGACATTCTTAAAAGAGAACACCCAGACCCGATTTGGTAGCCTAGTGGCTAAAGTCCTCATATTGCATCTTCTGAGATCCCAGTTCTAATCCTGGTGGACCTGCTTCCCATCCGGCTCCCTGCCTGTGCCCCGGAAAAATAGTCAAGAATGGCCTAAAGCCTTAGGACCCTGCACCTGTGTGGGAGACACAGAAGCTCCTGGCTCTTGGCTTCAGATTGGCGCAGCTCCAGCCATTGCGGCCACTTGGGGAATGAATCAAAGGATGGAAGATCTTCCTCTTTGTCTCTATTCCTCTTTGTATATCTGACTTTCCAATTTAAAAAAAAAAGGAAGCTAACATAGGAGGGAAATGGTATTGAATTCTAAGTGCTGCAGCAAACCAAACCTCTCCCCCCTCTTTTTTTCATTACTTACCATGATAGTTTTGTGAGTATAGGAATTTTTTCTCCTCCCCATCTTCCTCTTTTGTCCTTCCCCGGTACCATTATTCCCCAAATGAATACAGTATGTAGTTCCTTTAGTTACAGCTACGAGGTAACTTTCTGCTATGTAACGGCATCATGCCGTACACACTTTCACCAAAAGTGGATCAGGGTACCTTTCCCCTTCATCCTTGCCAGCAGTTGTTGTTTTTTGGTTTCTGTATAGGCCATTCTCCTTAGAACTAGCAAACCTCCTTACTTCCATTCTACTGTGTCATCTCTTTCTGAGATGACTTCTTCCTTTTTTCCTTGCTTTCTTACTCTTGGCTCAGACACAAATGTACTTTGTATCTGCACCCACAGTTTCTGACCATTCTTCAAGTGGTGGCAAGACGTGGTATTTCTTAAAGTCTTCCCTCATCATCCTCAGTAAACCCTGATTTTGTTTTGTCTCGAATGGATTATTGTTTGTTATAGTAGATTTGCTTTTTTTAAAAAAAGATTTATTTATTTATTTAAAAGAATGGCAGAGATCTTCCATCTGCTGGTTCACTCCCCAAATGGCTACAACAACCAGGGCTGGGCCAAGCCAAAGCCAGGAGCCAGGAACTCCATCTCTGTCTCTCACATGGGTGGCAGAAGCCCAGGCACTTGCCCCATCTTCTGCTGTTTTCCAAGGCACAGTAATAGGGAGCTGGATTGGGGGCCAGACCTCCAGGACTCCAATCAGTGCTGCGATGTGGGCTTGCTGGGTGATGTTAACAGACCACAGCTGACCCTGTGTACCGGTATGTTATGTCTTAGGCGAAGTAGTTTCCTCAATAATTTCCACACCAGTTGTGGAAGTGAGTTTTTCTTGGGGATTAGTTTTGGTTTTCAATTCCATAAGTTTGTTTACTCACTGTGGTCCCTAGCAGTCCTGCGTTCTTCCAACACCCTCAGTGTGCATGTTACTTTCTGTGTTGATTTTGCAGGAGCATCTTTCCCTGAAGAAGTATATTGTTGACATTGTAGTTGAAAGTGCAGCTCCGCCAGAGCCCCTGAAAGATGGAGAAGAGAGGCAAAAAAACCGAAAAAAAGCCAAGAAGATCAAAGCCCGGATGAACTCCAGGTACTTTAAATATCCTTATCAAGAAGAAGAAAATCCTTAGTGGTGCACCCTTTAATGTAAAGCCGAGGGAGGCAAAAATAAAAGTGTAAGTTACTTGCTTTAAGCCAGGTTTGGAAATGACATTGATGAGCCTAATTTATAGCCACTTTCTTTGATTGAGAAAGAAAACTGCATATCGATCTAAAGCCCTTGGTTTCACCTGTTAAGAGCTCTTCCTATAATTGGATGCCAAAGCTCTGCCAAATTTGCGCCTCTTCCAGCATACAATAGTATGTGTAAGGCTGGGTAAACCAAGCCTATTTTTCTTCCCAACTATTGATTTTTAAATGAAGTATCAAAGAAAATCAATAGCAATCAACAAATAGAAGTCTGCTGGCTGCAGAGTCAGATCCCGTGACAGGGGGTAATCAATTTGGTTGCCTGTCACAACAAGAAAAAAGTTCAAGAAATATCTTCAAGTGGAAAGTGAGTCAGCAGACCTGTAGTTTGTCATCCGCCTCCAAAGTGACAACTGAAGAGCAGACAGCTGTGTAGTGGCTCATTATCTCCCACGCCCCCGTGTCACCCGCTGACTGATGGCACCTGTCTTCTCCAATAGACAGTGCTGTGCCATTTGACAGACAGTGTTCTGAACGTGTCTTCCTCCTCTCATTCCTGGACATCGTGAGTGTGGAGACGTTGGACTCCTGTGGCTGTGAAGGGACAGAGCTGGAGAGGTGGTGCCTCTCTTTGTGGTTTCCCTGCTCCGGCAAAGGGCAGCCAGGGTGTCCAGTTCATCCTAGAAAGTCAGTGAGAACCTAGAATACTTGTTTATGCAAAGGACAGAAACAGCTTTTTGGATCTAAGCTTCTGAAGTCACTGCAAGACTCAAAGACGTGCTTGTGGGCGTATGGCAGGACTCTGAACATCGTTCCTAGGTTCTGCAGAGAACTTGCTGATCTGACACTTGACTGCTTCAGAGTCTGCTCTTTGTTCTTATTTTTTAAAACTTATTTATTTGAAAGGCAGAGTTGGAATTCCTTTTTTATTTTTTTAAAGTGTTTATTTTCACTAACTTTAGGGGTAGAGGGATACAGGACAGAGAACCTCTGTCTACTGATGGACTCCGCTGGTTCCTGCAGTTAGCCATGGCCAGGCCAGACCAAAGCCAAAGAGCCTGGACCTCAACTTTGGTCTCCTGAATGGGTGGCAGGGACTCAGGTACCTGAGGCATTCTTGTAGTCCCCCAAGGCACACCTTCTCTGGAAGTGGGGGCACAGCAGGCCTGTAAGCCAGACAACCTAGCACAGGAGGCAGTCGTCCCAAGCAGTGTTGGAACTCCTGCCCACCCACCCCTCTTAGGCCCTCACCCTGTCTACACGCTGGAGTCTGCCAGCGCTGTGTCTTCAGTTATGCACATGTTCAGTTTATCAAAGGCAAACCTGTGCTGCCTTTCCCTGCAAGCTCCCCATTCCCCGGGCTCTTGAACTCATTCTTGACCTCTCTGCTATACTTCACATCCAGTTCAACTATACTCATTGTTTACTTTGCCTTAAAATACATTTAGAGGGATGGCTGTGTGGCTGCCAGTTGGGATGCCCTTATGTCTCATCAGAGTGCCTGGAATTCAGTTCCTGGCTATGGCTCATGAGCCAGCTTCCTGCGGATGCTGACTCTGAGCGACAACAGGTGGTAATCTGGGTGACTGCCTTCTTGCCCTCCATGGGGAAGGCCTGCATTGCACTGCTGGCCCTGGTGCAACTGTAAGCGTTGCAAGCATTTGGAGAGCGAGCCAGGTGATGGGAGCTCTCTGTTTATCTCTGCCTCTCAAATAACGATAAATAAAATACATTGAAAATTTGACTATCCCTCTGTAACTTAATGGCTCCCCCCACCAAGTTCAAATTTCCATCTCCTCTCCCTTCCCCTGCCGGATTGCAGCGGTAGCCCTTTGAGGGAGCTCACAGAGCACGTCACATAGCTTCTAGAAGCTCAGGCCTTTCACAGTGGAGGGCTCTCCTCCTGTGGAGCCTTGCGGCTGGCAGCCTCACCTCCTGCAGTGTGCGCTTCCAGGGAGGCCATTCTGAAGCATCTCATTTGTTGCATGAGCATCTCATTTGTTGTGTGAACTGAAAAAAAGAATTAAGTGGAAAAAGAATCATAGGGAAAAATACCTATAACTCTGGAGCTACTGACATATTGACATGTATTTCATTGACCAGAAAGCTGGGTATAAGATGATTTTTTTTGTGTGTGTTGAAGTGTGATTTCTGTAAGTGAAAGGTAGAGATAATAACGTGTGGACTTTTTGGAGTTCTGAGAATCCAGATAGCCTCACAAAGCAACAGCTCTGTCAAAGCTGAGAGCATATGCACAGTCCACCCTTCCCCTGTCCCCCAGGTCCGTGGTCCCTCCCAGCACACCCGGCAGCCAGTCACATGTTCACTGTCATTATTGCTTACATGTTCCTGTCCTAGGGATTCCTGGCAGGGAAGCCATGCTTGCCTGCAGTGTGTCCATGATTCTCATCATGGTTCGTGCTGTTTCTGTCTGTGCTGTGTGGGTTTCTTGTCACCCCAATTGCTGACTGTATCCCCTGGATATGTGTAATACTAACATTGCTTGTCTGTTCGTCTATTGATATGAAGTTTTTTGTTCCCCGTGTTTAGTACTTACTAGGTTTCCAGAAAGTCTTTGGTGAAGCCTTTATCTTTATGTCTTTGGGTGAATGCCTAGAACTGAACTTGCTGAGCTTTGCATTGTGGTTGTGCCATTGCACATGCCCACTGGCGGTCTGCGTGTTCTGGTCGCTCCTCAATCTTACCAGTAGTGGCTTTTCTTAGTGTAAGACTGTAGCTTGGTTCTAGAGGGAAAATAGTGGTATCTCATGGTCATTGGAATCACATTTCCTTTGTGACTAATGATCAATCCTGGGCATCTTTTTATATGCTTTATTATTTTATTATTGTTGCTATTCGTTTACTTGAAAAAGAAACCTACTTGCCACTAGTTCTCTCCTCAAATGCTAGTGACAGGCTGGACCTGGGCTGGAGTCTGGACCCGGGAGTTCAGTCCTGACTTGAGCCAGCACTGTTACCTCCCAGTGTCAGTGTTAGTGCTGAAGTGGAGTCAGGAGCTGGAGCCAGGAAGCTAGTGTCAGCACCTCAGTGTAAGATGCAGGAGTCTTAGCCATAGCAGATGCTCCTCCTGTGCCTTGTGGTCACTCAGTGTCTTCTCTAAAACCAGTCTCAGGAAGTTTTTGTCATTTTGCTCTATATTCCAGTTCCAGCTACAAGGTCTTATAGTTTCTTCTGAGTGTGGCACCTGCCTATATACATTTTCTTAAGAATAACATTTGTTAACCGGGGTTTAGTTTTTAGCAAGTATATTTTGTCAGTATTTTCCTTTGGGGTCTTGTGCTTTCTGGGTCATATCTAAGAGATGATTGCCAGAACAGAGGTTAAAAAGTAGTTTCTCGGTTTGTCTTTCGACGTACCTGCTAGCGTTTTCTTTGGCATTTATGCTAATGACTTGTCTCAAATCAATGGCTATGACATGAATATAGTTTCAGGTTTATTTTTTTTTTTCACACTGGTATCCTATTGTTCCAGCACTGTTTGCTAAAGATTTTTCCTTTTGTTTTATTGTGTTAGCAACTTGGTTTAAAACAAATCTTGGTGTTTGAGTCTGTTCTGTATTCTGTTGCATTAATTTCTTTTTTTTAATTATTATTACATTGCATTATGTGACACAGTTTTTTAGGCTCTAGGATTCCCCCTACCCCTCCTCCAACCCTCCCCCATGGTGGATTCCTCCACCTTGCTGCATTGCCACAGTTCAAGTTCAGTTGAGATTCTTTTATTGTTGCATTAATTTCTGATTTTCCTTTTGGATCCTAGATGAAAAAAAAAATACATGTCAGACTTAATTCATTTGGTTCTGTCTCTGGATTGTCAGCACTGGGGACATGAACTGGCACCCGGATGAAATGCTGGCGTCGCAAGTGGCTGCTCTACCTGCTGCACTGTGACACTGCCCCTCTCTTTCTCACATTCTTGGCACACTGTTCCCATCACTGTCATTCAGCATCCTTTTTCATGTCTGACAAAACCTCTTACTTTGAAGTCTGCTTAGTCTCATAATTAATACTACTCTCTCTACTTTGTTTTTGATGTAATAGTAAATATGTCTGCTTATATTTAATATGCTTATAATTGTCATGTAATTGATTTTTCCCTTTTCATCCATCCTGGCAATACCTTTGATTTAAAGTTTTTAATTAACTCACATTTAACGTGATTATTGCTATAATTGTCTATTATTTTGTGTTAGGACTTCTGTTAAATGTAGCTTCCCTCTGTTTTCAGTGTGTGTGTTGGATTTATTTGCTCTAATAGAATTTTAACATTTGCCTATACATCTTTAAGCCATCATCGTATGGCTTTAAATGCTACTGTACCAGTTCACTATTGTTTTATTTATTTATTTGACAGGCATGGACTGGAGTGGGGATAGGCAGGCAGGACTCCCGTCACTAATTCCTGTAGTGGCTCTATAGCCCAAGCCAGGAGGCAGGAACTCAGGCTGGATCTCCCCCTGGGTGGCAGGGTCCTAGGTACTTGCGTTCTTGGCTGCTGCCGTCTAGAGGTCCGCATTGGCAGGAAGCTGGAGTCGGGAGCCAGATGCAGGTATCCAGCCCAGACACCTGTGAGCTACAGGAGAGCTCATTGGCTTCCTTTTAGCCATCAGCTAAATGCCTGTCCCAGTTCTATGCTGCTTTAATTGTAATTCTAGAAACTGACAATAGCAGACTTCCATCACTGCCTCTCCCATCTTTTGTGTTGTGATTCTCATACATTTTAATGACCATACAGTTTCCACAACACATTATTACTAGTTTTATTGAAATGACTCAGTTGTCTACATTTTAAAGAATCTAAGAAGCTATGCCCCATGCACCTCAAATCTTCGTGTTCTAAAATTTCATTTGATATCTTTTTCCTGCACATTAGTACTTCCTT